TCCAAGCTGGTGGACCAGCACTAGCACAAAAATTTCACCAACTTCTCATCAAAATATGGGTTAACGAGGAAGTTTCACCTGACTTAAAGAATGCCAACATTGTGACTGTCTTCAAGAAAGGGGACAAGTCAGTGTATGGGAACTACCAAGGCATTGCCCTTTTCTCCATTGCTGGGAAGATTCTTACTCGCATCCTTCTGAATTGCCTCTTCCCCCTTGCCGAAGATGTCCTTCCAGAATCCTAGTGTGGCTTTAGACTATCTTGGGATACCATTGACATGATTTTTGTTGCACAACAGATCCAGGAGAAGTGTAGAGAGCAACACCAGGAGCTGTTTAATTTATTCATTTGCCTAACCAAGGTCTTTGACTTCATCAATAGTAAAGGCTTATGGAAGGTGCTCTATGGTTGATTATCCACTGAAGTTCATCAGTATCCTTAGGCCACCTCATGACGGGATGACCACCATAGTCCTTTGCAATGGATCAGAGACAGACCCATATATCATTTGTACTGGTGTCAAGCAAGGCTGTGTCATTGCCGCAACCTGCTTTTTTTATCTATCTTGCTGTGATTTTGATTCCCACCTGTTACCGTCTTCCTCTCAAAACTGGGGTTGAGTATTGAGTGGATGGTCAGCTTTTCAACCTGTGGAACTTCCACAGCAAACAAAAGTTACCAATACCGGCATCACCGGTCTTCATTATGCTGACGACTGTGTTATCCTTATGTACACTGAGGCTCATCTGCAGTCTATCCTTGACCTTTTCTCAGGTGCCTATCACAGCCTGGGATAGGGGTGACGTGTAGGGGTGCACACTGGTGCACGTGCACCACCTGAGCGTAGTGGTGCACCCCCTGCAAAAAAAAAAAAAGACACCACCAAAATTTTTCAGCTTACTGCTGCCACACTCCTGCTGCTGCGCTCCTGCTGCCGCCGTGCCCCGCTAGCCGCCAGGGGCATGTGTCATTGGGAAGACCAATGACCATCTGCTTGCCACAGCACAAGCTGCCCCCCTCCCCCCACAAATTACCATTGGTAGAGAACCCCTGGAAAACATCAAGCATTTCCCATACCTTGGCCAGTCACCTCTCCCAGTCAGTCAGTGTTGATGTAGAAATTGAACATAGGATTTGCTGTGCAAATGTATCCTTTGGAAAGCTGCTTCACCATGTCTTTGACTGAGATCTGCAGATAGAAACTAAGATCTTGGTCTACAATGCAGTGGTTATCTCTACACTTTTCTATGGGTCTGAGATGTGGGTAATATATCAAAGTCATCTTAAGTGTCTGGAATGGTTGCATCAGCATTGCCTGAGGAAGATCCTTTGCATTAGATGGGAAGACCACTACACTAATGCCAGCGTCCTCTCTGCAGCTAACATAACCAGCATCGAGGCAAAGATCATGAAACACCAACTCTGCTGGGTTGGCTGTTGTGCACAGATGGCTGACACTCATCTCTCAAAGCAAGTTCTCTTCTCTCAAATTACTTATGGTAAGAGGACCCAGGAAGGACAGAGGAAGCACTACAAGGACACCCTAAAAGCATCCCGTAAGAGGGGTGGCATGTACCTACAAACTGGGAAGTGCTGACTGGTAATAGATCTCAATAGCATTGCACCAGACATCAAGCTACAGCCCACTTTGAAAAGAATCATCTTGCTCAGGAATCTGAGAAATGGCAGAGTAGGAAGGAAAACACACAACATCTTGGCCAACGGTTATGTTCCCCCCGCACTGCACAAGGTACCACTTGTTGTATCTGTGAAAAAACTTGCAGAGCACAGATTGGACTCCTCAGCCACCTTAAAACTCACCAGTAATCCCCCCCTGGCAGACGTCATCTATAGCTGATGATGGATTCAGGAATTTTGGATTATATCACGAGGAGCTGCACAATTTGCGTGTGCAAGTAACAAATTGGTTATGTAGAATTAGGTTTCTTTCCCTTGATCATCTGTCTTCCTCCTAATCTTTTAATATGCTTGGCTTCTTGTTGCACTGTATGTTGCACCGCAACAAAGCTTCAGGGCTTTAGAGTATATAACTTGCATTCTGGATATTTTTTTCTTCTGTACCCTCAAAGACTTGTCCTAACTAGACATGGCTGTTCTACATGGATACCTGGAGTGATATTGAGACACTTCTCAGATATAAGGGTGCTGTATTTTGCTTATATGTTCATAGTCAAATCAGATTTGGCATCGGGATTTTTTTTCCCCCTGGTCATATTGGTAATGACTGTTTGTTTGTTTGTTTGTTTTTTTTGCCTACCTCTGTGTGGTGGGGCACTGACTACTTCTGAGGATCATCTAGATACATTACCTGATAAATTCTCTGCCAGTCCGGGTATCTACAGTATTAGCAATGCTGTTGGTCTCTCCTGTTCTCTTTCTGTCACACGTTGTCATTTTTGAGGCCTTTGGATTTTTTATACTAAAGACATAGTTTGTTGTATGGTGTTAGGGAGTGCATTGTGGCTTACGATGTGTGGGTAGGGCAGAAGTGGATGTTTTAATGGAAGTTGGTCACCATGTGCTTGTGCAAAGATTCAAGGAGATGCATATTAACTTTTGAAGAGCCGCATGCAGCTCCAGAGCCATAGGTTGGTCACCCCTGTTCTTGTGTATCCTTTTTTGGCATAATGTCTATTGTTGGACACCTCTGGACATTATTGCATATTGAAAAAAAACACTGTTGCAGTGTCCTACAATCAAAGCTCAGGGCATTCTTGATGTAAAACAGCATCCTGTGTCATCTAAATTCCATTTTTCGAGACTATTCTTTGTGCCAGATGAGGCAAAGCATCTGCAGAAAAAAAAAGTAGGTATCAAGCAATTATAGTCTATAACTTAATGCTTATACACCGGGGGGGCGGGGGGGTTAAGGTTGAACAGGCAAGCATGTGCTAGCATTTCCTTAGATTTGAGTGCTTTATTTCAACATGAAAAAGGTGTATTACTGGTACTTAGATACAATTTCCTTGGATATTTTTCTTTAAGTGGGAAAAACATGATGTGTTGCCTGGAGTCTGACAGAGGCTATGCAGTTACTCCGAACAGAGTTATTCTGAATACGCACTCATGGGAATTTGATGTACAAGTTGCTTATTTACATAAGGTAAACAACGCGCTGTCAGTACTGGGGTATTAGCAGCCCCCAAAGGAACTAACACTGCTTTGTCTGCTGACTTTTTTTTTTTTAACAGTCAGTTCAAGGCTTTGGGGAGCCTGAAGTTGGGGTGAAATAGTAGGAGTGAAACTATCTCCTTTTCAAGGCTTCTAATCCCAGTCCTTTGTTGGTTTCTTGCCTGTCGCTGCCCTCGGCACGGGTAAAGGGGCAATGGGCAGCTGCACAGGGGACAGGGGCAGGAGCTGTGCGGGGCCGGGGAGCAGGATTAGGTGGAGGACGGGGCAGTGGTGCTGAAGGGGCCGTGGCGCTGCTATGCACCTAAGCGGTTTGTGCACTGAAGGCAGTGACAGATAATAACATGCTGATTATAACAGGCCCTAAACTATATCCAGTTTAAGAGGCACCATACAGTAAAAATAATCCAATGCATGTATATTTTTATCATATTAGAACAAAAATGTCCTTGTTTAGAGAGTCATTTTCCCATATCTCCTTTATCTACCAACTGATTATTATAAAACTTGATATCGAGTCAGGTTTTTTTCCGTATTTAGAGGCCCCTCATATTGTGAGGACCTAAAATGTAGTTTAAGTAGCTTAAGCCGAAATCCGGCAGTGGCTGATGGGGCAGCCCAGGGCTTCTCAGCCCTGTCAGGGCTTGGTCATAGCTAGGGTGGCCATCGAAGTACCGCAGACTGTCCCCACCACCATGAACGTCACACACCTCCCAAGGATGGAGGGGCATGGCGTGCTCCTGCGGGTAGTGGTGTAGGTGGCGGGGGTCTGGCGGTGGGGAGCTGGGAGCTCCCTCAGGCAGCCATGGCGGTGTCAGCAGCGGGGGGTACCGAGCGGTGAAAAATAGAGGACATAAAAGTGTCCAGTTTCATATCAACAGAGGACAGAGGACGAGAAAACCAGACTGTCCTCTAGAAAACCGGACGAATGGCCACCCTAGGCATAGCACCCCCTTACACCCTACACTGCCAGCTGCCCCAGTGCAGACGGGGCTCAGCGCTGCCAGGTCATGAATACGAAATGATTGTATTGGAAGCTCCAAATGATTGTATTTGCTGAAAAACCATCCTGCATTGAAAACATACATAAATACGCATGCAAATAAATCTTCTTATTTACTTTATGTTGCTCCCTGCCAGTCGCTAGTGAGTGAATGATAACTGGAAGCATTTTTTTTTCTTTATTTTGAGACAAGCAGTCATCAAGTAGCGCTGACAGCAAGTCCCAAATAACGATAATTTTTAAAAAAAAAGCCCAAAAGTCAGTTAAGATTCCCTGAGAGAGACTTGAGTTTGGCATATACTGCCTGGAAAAGCATCCTATGTGGTAAATGTTTTTATTATTATTGATTGTACACAGTGCAATTGGGTTGAATTTCTGGCCCAAACATCGTACTTGTGACACAAGTCTGGCACAAATATTGTATTTGTGAGGCGAGTTATGTGTGATTTATGTGTGTGGCACAGATATCACATATGCGATATGTGTGGCACAAATACATTCATGCTATGTGTGTGGCACAGATCATACTTGCAACATGAGTTATTATCGTTCCCTTGGCAACGCTGGGGCGGGGCTTCCCCGCGCTCCTGACTGGCCCTCCCCTCTCCCAGGGAGGCTCCCTCCTCGCCCCCCACACACTGGTACAGTCCAGGCGTGCCCCTTCCCAGCGAGCACGAGTGGTACCGCCCCGCGCCAGAGCCGTTTCAGTTCAAACCTTCAGAACTTCTGTCCCTGTAACGGTCCGCGCGGTGATGTCAGGCCAATCGCAGGCGTGAGGGGGCGGGACGCGCTGCCCTGGAGCTCCGCCTCTCTGCAGCGGCGCCGCGCCCTGCGCATGCGCGGGGACCCGGCCGGGGCGGGACGGGGTGGTGCTTGCAGCGGCGGCGGCGGCAGGGGAGAGGTAGAGGTAGAGTCGCGCGGGGAGCGCGGACGGCGCGGCCATGGGCTGCACGCTGAGCGCCGAGGATAAGGCAGCGGTGGAGCGGAGCAAGATGATCGACCGCAACCTGCGCGAGGACGGCGAGAAGGCGGCGCGGGAGGTCAAGCTGCTGCTGCTGGGTGAGGCCCGCGCGGACCTGTGGGGCCGCCCCGTCCCGCCCTGGTCGTCTGCCAGCGGGACCGTCCGGGCTGGCTTCTCTCTCTCTCTCTCTCTCTTCACAGGCTGGCGTCCTCCGAGGGGCGGGGGCTGCACCTGCCCGGGGGTCCCGTGTGGGAGGGGGGTCTAGAGGAGGAGGCTTAAAACCAGCCTGGAAGACTCCTGCCAGGGCAGTGGTGCGGGGCCGTGCAAATTGAGCAGGCACCTGGTACCCCTCGGAAAATGCCAGCTCCTTGCTGTCACACTTTTTTTTTCTTTTGTGGACTATGGACAGATTAAGGGAGCGAGTCTTCTGCTGCAGGCAGGGTCGGGATCCCTGCATTTGCAATCTCCGGGTTTATCTCGCGAATTGCGTGTGTGGCGTTTGCCCCCCTAACCGTGATAATGTTGCCCTGCGCCGCTTCCTGCTTCAGACTCCGCAGCGTCCGTGCGCTGCCTGCCCGTCTCTTCCGCTTTTCGTTGCTGCCGTCGTGTTTCTTTATCCTTCCCCCCGGGGAAGTACGGATAAAGTACTTGGTCAAAACGCTGCTCTGAAATATATCTCGGAGAAGAACGAGTCATCATTATACTGCGTCTCTTTAATTTTTTTCCTCTCCCAGGTCACTTTTATAAAATGTCACGCTTTGACAGTTGTTGGACAGGAAACTTAAGTTCTTTCCTGTTGAGGTGGAGAGGTGCAACCAGCATCATACAGACAAAAACAAATGCAATCCGAAAATGGTCAGCTATCCAGCTTGTAGTCTAGAGGAAAAAGCAGTCGTGGGGTTTGTGGGCAGAGGTGTGATATCATTTATTAGACTAACAAGATTTGTGCAAAATGGTCACGCATCTGACCATTTTTCATATGAGGGAAGCCACAGAAACATTTCAGGAAGTCGGGCGTTGGTTGCTGCAGTAGTTTCTTAGGCTTGGGATGCTCCACGAAAGGTTTCTGCGTGTGTGATGACAACTGCTATTATTGCAGGAGCCCCAGGCTCCTAGTTCATTAAGAGAAAATTAAATTATGTTCGAAACATGAATCAATTCTTGGACTCTTTAGCATTGGTGAGGTCTTTCATGTGTGCTTATGCCCAAGTATTTACAGGGCATCCATAAAAGCACAGTGTAAACATATCCTTCTGTGTACCTACAGCTCTGAAACACTGAGTGTTTCAACTCTGAAACACTTGCGAAAACTAGCAAGTTGTTTTTTTTTCACTGGAGTCAAATTCTCAAGCTATAAGAAAGCGCCCAGTGAAGTTAACTGGACTCAGACTTTATGTCATTAAAGTTTGGCGTGATAAGGCCAATAACAGAAAGAATGCTCATAGATTTCAGGTAGATACTTTTGACATTTGTGTAGCGTATGTCGTTTATCAAAATTATGTTTGTTCTTGTATTTAGTTACTACTATGTAGGCTTGTCTGTCTGTCCCAAGTGAAAAGAAGTACGAGAAAAGCCTGTAGAATCTACAAACTACTTTTTAATATTGAGACTACAGTTTCTTGTTCAGGTCCAAGGAGAGAGATTTACAATGTTAATTTATTTCGAGATTATTTTACGTTTGTTTCATCAAGGGCATGTCTAAAAGCAATTTAGTTAAAGATGATATAACACACTGATATAACAACCAGTGCGAATTTGTGTCTGAACATTTCCATTGGTTTAAATCTGGCTTGAGCTTTAAATTAACCTCCTCCTGTTAAATAACAAGCAGGTTTAAATGGTGCCTAAGCAAAATTATGCCATCTTACCTAAACTTTTAACATCATGTCATTATTTTTATAGTATCATGTAGTTTTGTGTTGGTACCTAGTTTTGGACTGTGTTATAGTAATTTAGTCTTTTTTTCCTAATGGCACTTTGAGAGAGAGTAATGGTGTCTTTTGCATATCTCAGTGCATATTATGTAGAGTTTACTTGATTTTTAGGGAATCTGAAATACAAATAGGAGATATGCATATATTGATCGGAAAGTGCCTAATATTGTTTTACAAAGAAATGTCAACATTATAAAAGGGGTTCATAGGAAATACGCAGTTTTTCATAAAAGACCCCCCCAGTTTATAAAAACGTTATTGAAAATATGCTGTACCTTTTTGCATCGAAAATTATCAAACTATATTTTATTTCTGTTTGCTTGGGGAAAAATGTTTCTGTGAATTGTGTTTACATTTGAATAGATTTCAGTTTTGAATATGTGATAATTTTAACCTATTAAATTTTAATTTGTAGGAGTTTGTATAAGTACTTGATATGAATAAGAAGTTGTTAGTTCATAAATTTCCTTTTTCTGATTTTTATTTGAAAATAACTTCCTTGATTTGTTGTTTTAAAGAGTTGTTGTGTTTTGTTTATATGTTAACAATAGGCCTATGTACGGTGTTCTGAAAAGCCGAGTTAGGTATCCTGATGGGAAATGGAGACTAGATTTCCAGATGACGGAAGCAGTAAATGCAAGCTTCATTTGAGTTAATTACAATTAAAGTTAATTAAATATGTATTGTAAGCTTAACAGTTTTTTTCCTAGTATTTCACTGAAAATACATTGGCTTAAAAATTAGAGGAGCACCAATACATCGGTCCATATCGTATCAGCACTGATAAAAGTAAAATTGGCATTATCGGTATTTGGCTTTTTTTGGCTAATGTATACAGCATTTATTGGTGACATTATTGGCCACATGTGTGCAGATGCAGCACGCATGCAGCCAGGAGCTTGGAGAGCAGCGTCTGAATAGTAAGCCTGTCATGGGGAAAGAGGGGGGGGGGC